CATCTCCCACCACCAGCCACTCATGCGCCGGGCTGCAGCTCTATCCTGCCACCATTGCCTGGATGCTGCTGCCGCTCCCCTCAGACCCACTGACGCCCCACTCCACCTCCCCTCTAGGACAGAGCCACAGCTTGAGGGGAGTGGTGGTGATGGTTAGCTCATGGCGGTGGGGTCAAGCCATGGCCCAGTGGCAGGAAGCAGCAAGAGGCGAGGACAGCACGGGCTCCCCTGTCAGTTACTCCTTGTGCTGCTGGCAGCACAGATGGCTCGGGGGTCCAACAGCAGCAGTGGCATTGAGTCTCACTGCTCTGCTCTGCTGCACCAGGTGGGCTGCAGTGGTGGCTTTGCCTGTGCCAATCTGGCCAGGCTGCAGCCCCGCACCTGCTGTGGGTCCATAAATCTGGGAAGCCATGTGCCCCCATGCTTCCCTGACATGTTGCCTGTGCCCCCCTGCCCCTCCAGTGAGTTGTCTATGTTTCCCCCACACATAGACTTAGCTCCTGGGAGCTGTGTGGGAGCTGCTTTCCATGCAAGTGCATATGTAGGTGGTGCCCCCTACCTGAGAGCCCTCTTCACACATCCCCCCAACCTCAAGCTGCCCCTTCCGAGCTGGAACTCAGCCAGCCTGCAAGGAGAAACCCATAGTTTCCCACATTTTTCCCCTCTGAAGGAGAAAATCCATGGTTTTCCTCTTTAGAGAATGATCTGGATGTGAGGGTGAAAGCCACTGGCAAAGTCTGCCAATGATACTAAGCTGTGGGCAAGTACAACCACGCATCAGGGTAGGCTGATGATCCAGGAGGACTTAAACAGGTTAGTTAGATGGGTGAACCAGAACCAGATGCTGTTCAACATTAAGAAGTGTAAAGTGCTCCATCTGGGGAAGAAAAATCCACAACAAAATTACAGGCTCGGTGGTGCTAAGCTAGCTAGTACCATATCTGAAAAAGACCTGGGGGTCATAATCGACCATAAAATGAATATGAGCCACCAGCATGATGCTACAGTCAGCAGAGCAAACAACAATATGCTGGCATGCATCAACTGATGCATCTCAAGCAAAACTAAGGAAGTTATTCTCCCACTCCACTCGGTATTGGTGAAGCTGCAGCTGGAGTACTGTATCCAGTTCTGGGTGCCACATTTAAAGAAGAATGTGGAGAAGCTTGAGAGTCCAGAGAAGAGCCACTTGTATGATTACAGGCCAGTGAAGAGCATGCCATATGAGGAAAGGCTGACAGATATGGGACTGTTCAGCCTAGAAAAGAGGAGACTTCGAGGGGATTTGGTGGCAGCTTACAAATATATCAGGGGAGAGCATCAGGGGCTAGGGGAACATATATTCACCAAAGTGCCCCAGGGGAAAATCAGGAGCAACGGTCATAAACTCCTAGAAGAAGGTTTCAGACTAGATATGCGGAAAAACTTCCTCACAGTTCGTGCGACCAGACTCTGGAACAGACTCCCAGCAGGGGTGGTACAGGCACCTACCCTAGAGATCTTCAAAAAGAGATGGGATGCACACCTTGCTGGGCTTATTTGACCCCAGAAGTCTTTCCTGCCCAGAGCAGGAGGCTGGACCCGACGATCTCACAAGGTCCCTTCCAGCCCTAAACTTCTGTGAATCTGTAAAATCCAGTTTTTTCACGGCAAATGGAAAACCCAGATCCCTGCTGATGTGACACAAAACAGCAGCTAAAAGGCTTCTCTAAAGAGGCAGTTGATGCCCTCCACTTTACCCGACCCCCACAAACACCCATCAAACAAAAAGGGAGAAAATGAAAATGTGCACAACAGAAATTAGACGAACAGTGATATAAACTGGCATTGTTGACAGAGTGACCATGATCCATACATTGCAGTCACATTAAGGTTGTTAAATAGGGTAAAGTATAAATGATGAGGGCCTTAAAGACAGCAGCATGCATCTAAGATGGTGAAGGGATAACAAGTAGAAGGAAACCAAGAGAAAGATAGCAGAATCAGAGCGATGAGCTAAAATGAGTATTTTAGCATCAGCATTTTAAGAAAATCAAAGGAAGAAGTAGCTAGATTGTCTAAGCCAGAAAGGAGATGTTTATGGTAGGGACACAAGTAACGAGAGCCTTGTGGAGAAGCTGGACACAGGTCAAATAAGGGAATTCTGCATTACAAGAGGGTGATCCCACTCTATCACAAACAATGCAGAGACGTGACCAGCAGACCTGCCACTCTGGAAATACACTGATTTAAACCATATGTTGAGGGGCAGGGAGAGAAGCACAGATGGACTACAGCAGCCATGTCTCAGTCAAAGGCTTAAACGTCTTAAGAAATGGGGATGAGCTCATTGGCTGCCAAACCATCCTACAGACATATCAGCTATTGTGCTGATTCAACAGGCAAAGAAATAAATAAGTAAATAAAGCAATAAATAAACTCAAGAGCTATTCGCAGGGTTTTCATATTGTACATACCAAATCCTCTGCTGTCACAGGTTGTCCATTTTTGTCATTGGCCACCACCATTTTTCCCAGCCTGTCTTTCATATCTGCCAGGCTAGTGGTCAGTGCTAAAATTGCCATAATCTCACTTGCAACTGCAATGTCAAACTGAGCCTGTTAAAAACAACAAAAAAACGGAAGAGTAAACCAAACCAGACACAGGCTGGATACTTTCAGAGAAAAAATTTAAAAATATCTACTATCAAGATAAAAGTCATAGTAACAAACCTGAGATTATTTGAACAGAAATAAACGGAAATTAGATACTTCTAAAGTTAACTGTTACTGTCATTAGTTTGTGGCTTAGTCCTTCAACTCCCATTGCCTTAATAGACCAAGTCTTCTGTCAGTGAGATTAAACTGATTAGATTCACTTTCTGCTTCTTGTGCACTAGCCCAGTTCTGTTTATGCTTGGCTTTCTAACAACTTTAGGAATGTTTACATTTAAATAAAAATATTTTCATGAAAAACATTTACATTCTTATAAATGTCTATAATTTTAATTTTACTCCAATTCTTAATTTGGAGCCTACCCTACTTGACAGTGTTCTTGGATTGATAATATAAAACTAATGCTTTATTCTCCTCATAGATTAAGAAAAAAAAATCATTTTGAAAAACACAAGAGATGTATGCAATACCAGCCCTATTCCTCTTGTAGAAATAAAACAGAAGTACTTCACAGTGATTCAGACCATGGACCTAACTCTACAGACTCTTGTTCACTGACCAAGCTTAGCAGTCAAGATACCAAGCCATCTCAGATATATTTATGAAGATCTGCAATTTCTATAAAGAGTGCAGTATCAGGCTCCTGGGTAGCTCTCTACTTTGTATATTTTATGCTGGGAAACAAAAATTCTAATTGACCAAAACTCTCTCTTTAAATTACTGGTTATAGGAATATTAAGAAGTACCTGCAGTAATTTCTAATCATCTACACAAAGAGCTACATCCAGGTACTCCTCCAGAAAGGCTTCCCTCCTTTAATCCATGAACCTCCCCCTAGGTACCATACAGATTTTATAACCCAGGTACAGCAAATTAATTGCAATGTAATTCAATTAATGTCTATAAATAGTCCCAAGCACCTACTTGTTTTCTTAAAGTCAAACCTTTGCTTGAGTATTTCTCTGCACTGAGACAACAGTTAGGGGCAGTTACATATGCTGATGAATAGAGATTACTCCTGTAAGTAGAGTTGCAGAATTTGGATCCAAATAAAAATAATGCTAAAATGACAAACTAAAGGTTTTCAACTTTTAGTTTGAGCTAGATTGGTTTGTGTTTGTTTTTTATAAACTAAGAAGAAAGCTCTATGTACAAAAACACAAGTTACATAGTTAACAGTGTAATGGACAGGTTGTCCTTGAACTAACAAATTCTCAAGTTAAGGATGATGAGCCTGTGGCAGAAATGCCACTGTCTGTATCTCTCTCCAGAGACCTGTCCCGGTCAGCTCAGGACACTGGGGTCGAATTCCTAAGGGAGGGGGGATTTTCCTCCCTGCCTATGTGACAAAAGCCTAGTGCCAAGGGTGTGGTCCCTCTGGTCACCTGAGTGGGGGAGGGAAAAGCCCCTGCTCATCTGCCCAGGTAACCAGTGATGCTTTTTAAATTGGTTGGCTAATTGCCAACACTGCTGGCTTCTGTTAGACTGGGTTGCTGAGGGCACAAAGGCTCTATAAGGGCCTGGTCCAAGAAGGAGGAGAGAAGCCATTTTACCAGCATGGCACAAGCATCAGGACACAGGGAGAGAGTCTGATCCAACTGAAACGCACTCTCCCTGGAAATCTCCGAGCCAGATCTCTACCATCTTCTGGATGATACTCGTAAGTGTTTCTAGAGAGTTAGTCAGCTCACGGTGATGCATTTGCGTATCAAACGGCTACCTCAGCCAGGCTGTTTTGCTTAATGGTAATCTCTTGATAGAGCTCTACCACTTACCCTATTCTAACCCTACCCTTTGTAACCAATAAAGTTCTCCTTTGTGACTGGTGTAGGAGACTTATTGAGGGGTGGGTTTAATTATGCCTAGGAGGCCCCTTAGGTCTATGGATTAAGGGAGACTATCCTTTTTGACCCCTGACTTGGGGAGGAGCCCTAAGTGCTTGTATTGGGTCGAGTACCCGTAGGACTATTAGACCTGTGTTTCCCCGAGGACACAGAACCTAGAAGGTCCCCTCTTGGGGTGGTGGCGGCACGTTACCCCCGGACTCTGTGGTGGGGCTCGAAAGAGGGTCTGTCAGGGCTTAGGCGCCCCTGGGGAGACACGTGGAGTCCAGCAGCTGGACAGGTGTAGTGAGGTGGGAGGCTCAAAGAAGGAGCTCCCCTTACTGGCCCGCCACAGAGCCACTAACTCATCTTTTCATAACTCAAAGAATTAAATGAGTCTGAAATCTAGTAGAGATTTTGCATACCTTTTATGCTGTAGAAACATCTAATTTTATCACCATGATTAAAGAATGCAATTTAAGAATACAGCTTAAGATTTTATTCTATATTTATATAGTCATTCTGAACTGGTATAAGAACCCACTCACAAGGATCTACCATATTTACCCAAACCTAAGATGACTCTGAATTTAGGACAACCCCCGCACCTCCCCAACAATTAGATTCTATACATGGAAAATTTATTAATTTGTTATGATTTTCCATGTATAGAATCTAATTTTTGGAGGCTTATTTTAAATTCATTCCCCCTTATTGCTGCAAGCAGTGGCAGGGGGACAGGTGGTGGCAGGGCAGCCAAGCGGCCTGACCCCTAACCCTTGCTGCCTGTTCCCTGCCCATACTTGCTCCTCCAACAGTCTGCCCATCCTGGTGCCTGCACATTTCATGCCTGCCCCCCCACATCTGCCCTGTGATGCTGTAGCCAGCAGGGCAAATAATACTCTGGCATGCATCAACGGATGCATCTCATGTAAACCCAAGGAAGTGATTCTTCCACTGTACTCAGCATTGGTGAGACCACAGCTGGACTACTGCGTCCAGTTCTGGGCAATGCACTTCAACAAGGTCATGGAAAAACTTGAGAGAGTCCAGAGAAGAGCCACCTGTATGATCAGAGACTTGCAAGGCAGACCATACGAAAGGCTGAGGTACTTGGGCCTCTTCAGTCTAAAAAAGAGAAGGCCGAGAGGGGACTTAGTAGCAGCGTACCGCACCGCTACATCAGGGGAATACATCAAGAGCTTGGTGAACCACCAAGGCCACTCTTGGGGAAAACCAGGAGTAATGGCCACAAACTCCTACAAGACCACTCCAGGCTCAACTCTAGAAGAAACTTCTGCACAGTTAGGGTGCCCAGACTGTGGAATAAGCTCCCCCAAGAGGTGGTGCAATCACCTACCCTGGAAATCTTCAAGACAAGATTGTACAGTCACCTTGCTGGGGTCACCTGACCCCAGTTGCCTTTCCTGCCTAGTGCATGATCTTGTGAGGTCCCTTCCAGCCCTTAACAATCTATGAATCCCTTCCACCTGATCCCCTCTGTTACTGGCCCGCTTCCACCTGCTCCCCTGTGCTTGCATTCCCTGCCCCTCCCCGTGGTGTCTGCATCCTGTCACCTGTCCCCCTTATCACTTGCCCCCCATGCTGCCTCCTCTTCCCACTCCCCCCGGGCCCCCTCATCGTTGCTGCTTACCTTCCCTTTACAGCTGACTCCAATCTGGCTGAGAGCAGGGAGCATGGAGCAAGTGCTGTCTCCAACTGTACCCTGGCCATGAAGCAGTTGTGGTGACAGTAGCTTCCACCCCAATTCCAGAGCTAGGGCCAGAGCTGCAAAGAGGAAGTAAGCAATGGCAGGGAGCATAGGCAAGGGAAGCAGAGGCTGCAGGAGGCAGGGGCAGCAGCAGCAGCTGCCACTCCAATTCTGACCCTCGGCTTGGGGTCAGAGTCAAAACTGTCCCCACTCACCTTATACTTGAATCTAATATGAGGGACTTTCCCTCGCAACATTGAAAGCAGAGTGGGGCTCATCTTAGATTTGAGTAAAAGCAGTAACTGCAGAATCAAGGTCATAATTCACATAATACAGCTTTAGAAACCACAGCCTATGAGTTCCATAAAATGCAAATCCCTGCTTATTGTGCTCTGTTTTTCTATACATGTCACTGATTTTCAAGGTGGTAGAACACTCCAAATATTTATAATATGCATCTATTGAAATACAACATCTTGTTTTAATTACATCACTGACTACACTGTGAAAGGAAGTTTCATTAACTATTCTTTCTATACGAAAGCAGGGTAAAACATGATATACAACCAGTCTAACAGTGTCAAAGTTGAATACAAGAAAAAAAGAGGTTCATGTAGAACACGGACACGGTCATTTTAATATTTTAGCCAATTAAGGACTAATGCATGATACCCTAATGCTGAGCAGTACCTGCCCTTGCATGCACTTTTACTGAAAACAAAAAGGCAATTTCTAAAGTAAAGAGCTGCTTCTAAGCGTGGCAAAATATGGCTCTGAACTAATAATTACAGCAAAAAAATTGAACCAGATCTAAAAGCAGGAAAATGTTCTCTTCCAAGCACTAGAAGGGGGTACTACAAATACAATATTTTTTAGTACTTGTCTTACCATCTACAAACTTACCAGGGGGGACCAGTGGGGAATGGGAGAGACCCTGTTCCCCCAAGCACCTCCAGGAGTAACAAGGAATAATGGCCATAAGTTGTTTGAGAGTAGGTTCAGGCTCAACATTAGAAGACACTATTTCACTGTCAGGGCAGCTAGGATCTCGAACCAACTTCCAAGGGAAGTGGTGCTGGCTCCTACCTTGGGGGTCTTTAAGAGGAGGCTTGACAACTAGCTAGCTGGGGTCACATGAGCCCAGTATGCTCTCCTGCCCAGGGCAGGGGGGCGGACTTGATGATCTACTTAGGTTCCTTCTGACCCTACTTCTATGAATCTATTAATATTCGTTAATTTTGAATGTTTTATGCATGTCAAACAAGGTGCGTGTTGAAAGGGAAGTCTCTTCCACACACATATTAAGTCACAGTGACTACATATCTATTTCCAAATATGTTCAAATACTTCAACAGATGGAAAAATAATCAGTCTAAATAGGAATGTTAAAACCTGCATATTACACTCTTATACCTTCATCTCATATCTGTAATTAGAAGACTAACCCAGAACACCAGTGGGAAACAAAACTGGGGGTGAATTTTCTGAAAGCCATGAGGTCTTCTCTATATGGGGATGTTACATTACAGCAAATATATTTAGTTCACTTTCACATGCTTGGGTGCCTGCAAAACCAGTTTTAGATAATTATTTTGTGATTTGGCATCTTAAGTTGCAGTAAATAATCCTCCTTGGAACAGGAGTTACTTCTACTTCCAGTTGAACTTTCCTGCTTGTTTGCATTATGACTCATGTGGACACATTTCTAACTACCATGCTTCTGGAAGTCCTCCAACAACAGCTCCGCACCTCACTGATTCATATATGGGTCAACCTGACTTGGTATGTTTGTGGCTTGTACTGCTCTGGGGGTGAGCTGGTAGGAGGCATAGATAGTTCAGTAATGATTGCATCTGCTCTGTGGTGGGCTAGCAGGGGGTGCTCCTGCGCTGAGCCACCCACCTCACTGTGCCCGACCACCTTCCTGGCTCTGAGTGTCTCCCTGGGGGCACCTCTCATCTAGCCAACCCCCTTCCTGGAGCACAACCGCTAGCCTGGGGGTAGTGCCACACCCCACAGCTGATGGACTCCTTGCACATGGGCAGGGTGACAGGAACCTGGGGCAGCCCTGCACGGGGTACGGCACTGCATGGTTTTCTACCTGCTCACGGGCTCCCTGTGTGTCAGCAGGTGGAAAACCAGAAATACCTGCAGAAATACATATGGAAAAGGGAACAAAACAAGACCTCCAGTATGGAATGTTTTCTCTGTTACATCCTTAATTGCTACAATGTATGGCAGGTTAACTATTTATAGCATAATTAACAAGTTAACTGTATAATAAATGTAATGTGTCAGGGTCCTCAGAGTAACAGCATCCAGCATACACAGAGCCTGAAGACTTGCACACACATTTACTAGGCTGCTGACTTTGCAAGCCTTCCAACCACCTAAAGCCAACAGAGTCACTTAGCCTTTGCAGAAGGCCTACACAGGAAGGAAAGACATTTGTGAAATATCTTAACCCAGAGCAGATGCTAGAGAGGGCTGAAAAGATAGGCACAGCATGACAAATATTAAGTGGGGGAGAATTTTATTGTTGCTGAACAGAAATTAGGAAACGGATAACAAATGTGTGTTTTTTTCTGGTGTCCTTCAATACCTTTAACACCCTGGTTCACAAAAAATAGCAGCAAAAGATTTTTCAGGAACTCTAATTCATCCAAACAAAGAGCCATAACAGCCCAGCTATGGAGAGATGACTTTCCTGAAGCATCCTCAAAAGATTGAAATGATGTACAGGGCTCAGTTAGGGGAGTAAGTTAGACAATGCAGAGGCACACATCTGGGCTGGAGTAGAAAGGAGGTAGGAAGGAGCATGTCACCAGTAGCCCCTTTGGATCTCAGGAGTCACACCTGTGCAAAACTGTCAATAACCACCACTGCCAGGTTTTACAACACAGCAGAGCATCACAAGCCATCATGGCAAGAGCCTTGATCTGCCAACAACTAAGTGGTTAGGTACTGGCTAATTGAGGTTGAAAGTGGCAAGCATCTAGTCAGTGACAGCCACACAGTTCGGGCTGAGGGGGCCTCTCATCTAAATCTTCTGCCACCGGAGAAGATCAGGCCTCAGGCAGGGGGTTGGGACTACATGACCTCTAGAGGCTCCTTCCAGCTCTACTTCTCTATGTTTCTATGATTCACTGCAGCTCAAGAGTAAAATTTGCACAGATTTCTAGGAAAGCAGCCTTACTTATCCTGAAGTTCTGCTCCCCCTGCATTATTACCTTGTCTTACAGGCCATTGCCACCTGAACATGCCTCATAGTGGCCCTGAACCAAGTTAAACTGCTCCTTGGAAATGTATTAAAAAAGTAACTAGTCAGTTCCATCCTCCCATTCTTTCCTCCTCTGAGCCATATTGCCATAGCATAATGCTAAATTCATCAACCTGAATTACTCTGAACATGGATACATAATTATAGGCCACAATGCATACGCTACAAGGGGTTAAACAATAGTCTGCATCATTGTAATGAATGGAACACTTTTATAGATGATTTGTTATTTTATGGTGCCTTAAAATCAAGTGCACATGTAGCACCTATGCCATTTACAGTACAATGAACATGTTAATCATGCCAAAAGCATAACATTTGTCAGGGCCTCTCAGAACAGTCTGAAAGATGCGGCAGGATGTGGGCTCACCCTACTTAGTCTTGCCAGCCTCTCATAAGCCTTGCTCAAATGAATGGAATTTGAAATAATTTTTTTAAAATGCTTTAATCATCCCATGCTTTCTTCCCACAACTTCTCCATTTATTTATTTCCTGGTTCTAGTTCTCATGCCATTCTGTTCATCCAAGGTGTGCATCAATGCAACATGTCGCGTCTGATCTGCATAAGAACTGTTTACATGACTGTAGTTAAATTTATTCAAGGACTTTTGATGGAAAAAATGAACCACTTCTGATTAATTTGCTTGTGATGATACTACGTATTGCCCTAGGGGAGGGATGCATTACTGAACAATATATTTACAAGGAACTTTTTCACCTGTTTCAATTTGATTTCCTCTTAGTTTACACTTATACTACTGTCAAATTAAGCTAATGTATAAGTCATTAGCCTCCTACATGGATAAAGATAAAAAATTGCCCCTATAAACCAACCAGAAATATTTAACATATTTATAAGATGAAGCTCCCCAACTCAAGCAGCATGGGGGAAAAAAAAAGACCCTCATCTTATAATTACATACAAGGAAGCATTATTAAATACATTGTCTACCATTAAGCTGTTGTCAAAAACAACTTGTGCTCAGTAAATGGAAACCAACTATGAAGTTAATCAACTACACCCAACACTGAGCATGAATATAAGACACACGGACCATATGGGGAAAAATACTGATGGAGACCTACCACAAGGATAGGTTAATGCAGTCCAAATTAATAAGATATATGGTAGTGCCTACTGTATGCATTCCCCCTCAGCACTGACTCTTTTTTCAAGTCATGGTGAGCTACTATATTGAATACATTTCTACTTTCTCTTCACTCCTTGAAGGTATAGCTGAGCTATGCCTTTCTTTTCTATTTGCAATTATTCCTTTTTTTCACGATCCTTAAATGTCTGGCAAACATCACCAAATGGGGCCTCAAACAGCTCACCCAGCATCCTTTCTGGCACCCCCTTTCTCAGCCTGTTGCATAATGATTAGTGTGCCCCTGCCCTCCATGAGGTAGAGCTGGGCCAGGTTGCCCTGTGCCTTATCTGTATATAATTTGAGGATCCCAGGACTTATTACAAGAACACCCAGTCATGAGTGAGGGGCTAATTAGCACATGGATCTTTTTTGGGGAGGTACCTGGAGAACACACATGCACATACTCAGCAGTTCTGAGCTGTGGGGTCACCATGTCTTGAAATGCTGTTGACTTTGCTGGTGCCCAACCCAATGAACTAGATAGTGAATCATGAGCCTTTTCACTTTAAACTAATCTGATGCGTAGTTTGTACTATATATAAGTATAAAAGTGCTGCTTAAAAGTGTGTTCATGGAGTACCTGTGCTAAAACTTGCATCAGCCTGAAAAAGGTAACATGCATTAATTCTGGACAAATTAAGTCTATGGGTACCTGTAGTAATTTGCCTATATGGTAAATAGTGTTTATTTCAAGGCAAATGTTTTCAAATTTTCTTCACTTCCATGTGCTTAGAGAGAGCACAGTCTGACAGTAAGGGGGAGGGGGGAAACAATAAAGGCAGATTCTATACCTGGAAAATTATAACATGTATAAATTTTCTATACACAGGATCTAATTATTATAATCTTGTATTCAAAGTCATCTTACATTTGAGTAAATATGGTATTGACTATATGGATATTTAGGGACAGAAATTAGAAAAATCCATCTGTCTAAAGTTGAGCTCAAGAACTCTAGAATAATTAAAGTGAATGGATATTACATTTCAATTTGGCAGCAAATTCTTCACTAACTGTTTTCAAACAGCTCTCATGCAGTGCCACAATTTATTCTCACAAGGTATTGAAGCTTCCAAGACTTGCACATACACCTAATTTTGCATACTGTAAGCTGCCCAAATGAAGTCAATGAAGCTCTGAGTACAAAAGTTAAGCACATACTTCAGGCTTTTACACTTTCATGACACAAATCTGTAGAGGATGGGAGGATAAGAAAGCAAAAAGCTGAAAAAATAGAAAACATTTAAAATTATACCACTGGGACCACAGGGAGAGCAATCTAATCCTAAGTAATTAATTGAATGGCTAGTAGAAGAGCAAACATTTTTCATAAATTCAAAGACAATTCTGTTGAGAATCATCCCAGCATCTAGCTTTGCATACCTGACGGATAAATCCCTTTTCCGTATTTGCTTGCCCAACTGTTATTTTTCGTAGGAATCGGTCATTTGTGTCCAATACTGAAACAGAGGGGGAGAAAAGAAAGAGCAAACATAATGGCATTACCAAACACTCAAATGCAATAAATTGTTTGGGTGGTGTGTTCTATCCAGATGAACGTGTATCCAAGCATTTCCTGCTTTGTATACTAGCTTCCGTTCTTTTCTTGACGTATTAGCTCCTGCTAAGAATTAGCAAGAAAATAGGGACATCTATGTGCAAGGCAGTGCCATGCAGATACCCACCAAATTAGCTCCGTGAGCACTAGCCCCAAAAACTAGAAACAGCATGGGCTAGTCCTGCTTTCAGATCCAAACCTAGCATGCACAGAGATAGCTCATGGCTTTTTGGACAGCTCTGCCTTGCGCTGTATATACAGACCCTCAGGAGGTTAGTAGAGGCGTAAGTGTTGATATCTGCAAAGCAGTGTCTTTGGTACTCATCCAGACATATGTACAAGCAGAGTGCCACCAGAAGTTGCTTTTTAATTCACTGTTGGCACTTGAATATCTATGAGAATTGAGCTAATATCTTTGTACAGTATCTTCTTTTTGAGCCATTAAACTTTTAAGTGTACAGTCTGTTTCTGTATCCTTTTAGGAGAAGGAATATAAACTAGCAAGATTATTGCATATCAGACATATCCTTCTGTGGCAGAGTCTCACCCCAACCTTCAGTGCAGTCATAAAATTAATTCTGATTTCAACTAAAACAAGAACTAATAACTTTTCCTGTTAATTCCCTATACATTAAAAAGCAGTGCATAAACATTACAACTATACAAAAAAGTCTCCAATCCTTCCACCTTTTTACCAGTTAAAGCTTTAATCAGAACACCAAGTATGTATTCTGTCACAAACCACAACAGAATTTTAACAGCTTACTTTATCCTCCATATCAGGTTGAATGATTGAGAAGACAAACTGTCTTTTGGAAAAATATAATTTATCCTGTGAAATTAAACCAATGGTTCTACTCCTTATATATTGAAAAGTGCATGATCAAAATGCTAGAATGCAATATAATTACACTATTAATTTTAATAATTATTCATTAACCATTTACTAATTATGCTAACAATACCAATTTCTACATAGATTCAAAGAACTCTATTCAAATTACACTTGCTAGTGAATAAAGGTTGTATTTTAAAGGGATGCCAAAGGAAATGTATAGTATTTTCTTTAGGAAAAAAATGGTAACCATAAATGAATTTCTGGCTTGAAATAGTAGTGCTATATTTAAGGGTTCATTTGGATTTTTGTTATAAATCTGTGTTTCACATGAATATATGGGTTCAGACCCAGTTCTATCACAAGCTCTGCCATGCAAGACACAGTCTTGCAAGGCCTTAAATGCCTGTACACCAATGCTCGTAGCATGGGGAACAAACAGGAGGAACTCACCCTCAGAATAGCTAGTTCAAATCCAGATGTCGTAGGGTTAACAGAGACGTGGTGGGACTCGTCCCATGACTGGGCAGTTAACATTAGGGGCTATAGGCTGTACAGGCGGGATAGAGAAGGCAGGAAAGGGGGGGGGTGGCACTCTATGTCAAGGAGCACTACACATCCTCTGCCAGCAGAATGGGGTCAAGGGAAGGGCAAGCTGAAGTGCTCTGGGTCAAGATCCAGGGGGGGCAAGGCGAGAGGGATTTGACGGTGGGGGTCTATTACAGACCCCCCAATCAAGAGGAGGAGCTGGACAGGGAATTTTCAGGCCAGCTTGCGGAGACACTAAAAGCAAGGGATGTAGTTGTCATGGGCGATTTTAATTACCCGGACATCTGCTGGGAGGAGCAGTCAGCCGGGACGGACCGCTCCAGGAGGTTCTTGGCCGAGTTGCAGGACCTCCACTTGATTCAGGAGGTGCACAGTCCCACCAGAGGAGATGCCCTGCTGGACCTGGTCCTGGCCGCAGGCGACGACCTGGTAAGAGGCCTCCAGGTTCTTGACCACCTGGGCAATAGTGATCATCGCATGCTGGAATTCACCATCCAGCGTAGAGTGTCAAGGGCCCGCAGCAAGGTGGTAGCCCTAGACTTCAGGAGGGCCAACTTCAGTGAGATGAGGAGATTAGTGGGAGAGGAACTGGGGTCCTTGAGGGCAGAGGAACTCAGCGTCCAAGAGGAGTGGTCGTTCCTTAAGGAAACGATACTCGGGGCCCAAGGGGTGTCCATCCCGACAAGAAGCAAGGCGGGCAGGAGTGTCCAAAAGCCCCCCTGGCTCACCAAGGGTGTCCGGGAATGCCTGCTTGCCAAAAGGGTGGCGTACGCCCGGTGGAAGGGGGGTGTAATCTCCAAAGAGGAGTATACCTCCTCTGCTCGGGCCTGCAGGCGGGCTGTTAGGAAGGCCAAGGCGGAGATAGAGCTCGGATTAGCGTCCAGGATTAAGGATAACAAAAAGTCCTTTTTCAAATATATTGGGAGGATGAAGAAGGCGCCGGGTAATGTGGGGCCCCTGCAGGATATGCGGGGCAATCTGGTGGTTGCGTCAGAGGATAAAGCGGACCTCTTTAACCAATTCTTCACCTCCGTTTTCTTGTGCAGGGACCGGGACTTCCCTGCTGTGATAGAAGCCGGACGCGAGGGGATCGCCTTCAGACCTCAGGTTGGGGAGGACCGGGTTAGAGAGCTTCTGGAGGGGCTGGACGCGTTCAAGTCAGCGGGTCCGGATGCTCTCCACCCCAGGGTGCTGAGGGAGCTGGCTGGGGTTATTGCAGGGCCCCTGGCACGGCTCTACGAGCGATCGTGGTGCTTGGGCCAGGTGCCAGACGATTGGAAGGTAGCTAATGTGGTCCCCATCTTCAAAAAAGGGAAAAGGGAGGACCCGGGCAATTATAGGCCCGTCAGTCTTACCTCAATCCTGGGGAAGCTCTTTGAGAAGATCATCAAGGAGCACATTTGTGATGGGCCGGCATCCGAGATGATGCTCAGGGGCAATCAGCATGGATTTATTAGGGGGAGATCATGTCAGACCAACCTGATTGCCTTTTATGATCAGGTCACAAAGGCCATGGATGCAGGTGTCGCGGTGGATGTAGTCTTTCTGGACTTCAGCAAGGCCTTTGACACCGTCTCTCACCCCATCCTAATTAGTAAACTAGGCGACTGTGGCATAGATGCCTACACGGTCAGATGGATTGCAGATTGGCTGAAGGGTCGCACTCAGAGGGTGGTGGTGGATGGATCATATTCGACTTGGGGGGAGGTGGGTAGTGGAGTCCCTCAGGGCTCGGTCCTGGGCCCTGCGCTGTTCAATGTCTTCATCAGCGATCTTGATGTTGGGGTGGAGAGCAACCTGTTTAAATTCGCTGATGACACCAAAATTTGGGGGGAGGTGAGCACGCTAGCAGGGAGAGAGAGATTGCAGAAGGATCTGGATAGGTTACAGGGGTGGGCAGACAGGAACAGGATGCGTTTCAATACGGACAAGTGCAGGGTGCTGCACTTGGGTAGTAGGAACCAGCAGCACACTTATACGATGGGGAACTCCCTACTTGAGAGCACGGAGGCGGAAAGGGATCTTGGTGTCATTATTGACTCCAAGATGAACATGGGCCGACAATGCGAGGTCATGGTTGGCAGGGCTAACCGGACCTTGTCGTGCATCCACAGGTGCATCTCGAGTAGAGCCAGGGAGGTGATCCTCCCCCTCTATGCGACGCTGGTCAGGCCGCAGCTGGAGTATTGTGTCCAGTTCTGTGCGCCCCATTTCAGGAGGGATGTGGACAACATGGAGAGGGTCCAGAGGAGGGCCACCCGCATGATCCGGGGACAACAGGGCAGACCCTACAGTGAGAGACTGCGGGACTTGAACCTATTCAGCCTCCACAAGAGAAGGCTGAGGGGGGACCTGGTGACCGTCTATAAACTCACTAGGGGGAACCAGAAGGGTTTGGGGGAGACGCTGTTTCCCCTAGCCCCCGCTGGCATAACAAGGAGTAATGGGCACAAGTTGATGGAGAGGAGGTACAGATTGGACATCCGAAAAAACTACTTCACAGTTAGGGCGGCTAGGAGCTGGAACCAACTTCCAAGGGAGGTGGTGCTGGCCCCTACCCTGGGGGTCTTTAAGAAGAGGCTGGATGCCTACCTGGCTGGACTCATTTGAGTCCCGTTTTTGTTTTTAGGGTTTTTTGTTGTTCTCCCGCCCTGGCGGGGGGTCGGGCTAGAAGATCTATTAGGTCCCTTCCGACCCTAAAACTATGAAACTATTAAACTATGCTATGTGGTTCCACACTCACAACTTAATGCATCTTTGGGTCATTAATATTCAACTCAGATGTGATTCTTAACTCAATTCATAAAAATATGTTTAATCCTACTGGATTGTGCTACAGAAAAGTTACTGAAGCAAATTATTAAGCAGTCAATTTGTAAACATCTGGAGGAGGTAAAGCTGATCACTAGTAGCTTGCCTAAATTTATTAAGAACAAATCACACCAAAATAACTTTACTACTTCCTTCCTTGACAAAGTAACAAGTTGAGCGGATGAAGGAAATGCAGTGGACAGTGTTCTTTAGTCTTTGTAAAGCTTCTGATATAGTCCCAACATGATATTCCAGAATTGAACTGGAAAAAGGCAGACTATATAAAACTATGATTAGGTGGATACATAACTGGCTCAATAACCACAAGCAAAAGGTAATTAGAAATGGATCAATGACAATGGCAGGAAGTTTCAAGTAGGGTTACATGGGGGTCAGTCTGTCTTGGGTACAGGGCTGTGTAAAATGTTGATTAATGATTTAGATACTGAAATAGCTTCCTGATCAATTCTGCAGGTGACATGCAATGGGGAGGCTTTCAAAGACTTTGGATGATAGGAATAGCTTTCAAAAAGATTGTGATGGATTGGAGACCTGGGCTACAGACAAGAGAATGAATTTCAACACAGATAAACATAAGGTGCTAGAGAAGAATAATCAATGCACAAATCCAGAATGGAAGATAACTAGGTTGGAAGGATCTTGGAGTTTTGGTGGATCACATGTTCCAAATAAGTGAACAAAAAACACGTGATGCAGTAAGAAAAACAAATGCAATTTAGGGTTTCATGAACTGGAGTGAGGTGCAACTACAAGAGGTGAGGGTACCACTCCACTTGGTACTGGTTAAGCTTCATCTAGAGCATTATGTGCTGTTCTGGGCTCAACATTTTAAGGAGGATGAGGTGAAGCTAGAGAGGGTCCAGAAGCAGACAACGTAAACGATAATGGGTTTAGAAAGCAAGCTGTATGAGGAAGGTTGAGAGAATTAGGTATGTTTAGCTTGGAGAAAAGACGATAAAGAGGAAGACATGATAGCAGTTTACAAATATTAGAAAGCCTGCCATAAAGAAAAGGGAGAGCAACTGTTCCTCCTTGTCAAAGGGCAAGACACACAGTAGTGGTTTTCAAATTGCACCAAATAGACTTTGATTAGAAAGGAAGCCTTTTCTGAGGTCTATTGGAAGGAAGCTGTAGATTCTTCTTCATTAGAAGTTTTCAGGAGGAAGGTGGATATGCATTAATAGGGACAGTTTAAGAGAGAACATTGCTGCATTTGTGGATGAAAGGGATCTTGAGGACCCTTCCAAGCCTGCCATTTGTATGACTCTTAGCAACCAGATCCATCTGAAGAGCATATTCATTTTCAACATGTAGTTAGTATGGTTTGGGGGGCACTGAAAAGGAGCTATAGTACAGGGGACAAATAAATTATTATTATTATTCAATTTTCTTTCAGTATTTTTAAACTGCTGATACTAGGGAGAAGGATGGGCACAGAATGAAAGTGGTTATTGACTAGACCCGAGATAACAAAGAAGAGCAAGTACAACCGGGGATGGTGAAACCTTTCTCTATTCAAACCTCAATTAAAAAGGCCGCTGCAAAATTTAATCCAAATCTATAGGAATTAGAGATTCCTGGATCAGAATTCCTCAGCTATCACCAAAGCTCTGCCTCCTTAGGATGCATTTATTAAGTGATCAGTCCTTTAAAGTGCTCAGAGTCCTCAACTCCTGCTAGGTATTAAACTCTATAGATCAATAGAGTTATAAAATCTGATATTGGTGATAAACATGGCAGAAAAACCTAAAAAAAGGTAATAGGTAATACCCATGAAATTAATTGTGCAACCACATGATAAATTACATCTCCATGTACTAAACGTAACTTTTCACCATCCTCACTGCTCTCTGCCCATTTAAATCTAACTTCTCCAGGATTATTTCAACAAGCCAACCCATGAGCAGCTCCAAACGTTCCTGCATTTGACCTCTTCCTGTACTACCAGTTATTGCTTAAGGTTTAATCTTTTTTTTTTCTTTTTTTACTGTCACACTGTCTGCTGAAATATCTTAACCTTGATGCGTTTTTAAAACAACATTTTTTTTATGAGGGTAGGTTATTGGACCATCGTTCAACCCCCAGCTGGGAGGACAAGCAGACTTCTTTCCTTCTGATCCCTACCCTTTGCTTTGTCCACTTGGGTTGCAGCACTAGTCATAGCTCTAAGGGTCACTGGAACACACAAGGCTTCCCACCACATCACAGTGAGGTCCACCACAATGGAGGTCCAAAAAGTTTGCACTTAAAAAAAAAAAAATCAACTTGGCAAATAAATGATCTTTCTTCTCTCCAGAGGATGGAATTCTCCCCTTCCACACATACCCAAATTACACCTTCTCAAAGACAAGGATAACCAGGCTCAATCCTGATCAAGTAATGGATTTAAAGTCTAATCCAGGAATAGAAACAGGAAAACAGTGCCACTGGAAAGCAGTGTCCTTACTTTTCAGTGAGATGCAGCAGTTTTTTAGTCTGCACAAGACAACAGACTTTAAGTCCAATAGACTTTAAGCCTGAGATATTGTTAAGTAAGGAAATGCCGCTGTTGTGTCATTGTTGGTTCATTTTCATATAGCTATGCGACTCTGCAGCTCTGTATAGCTGGATTTTTGATAACTAACATATCCAGTTTCACAGGCATAAGGATTCCAGAAACAGACCCAATGAAGTACTTCAAAACTCTCTACAGCACAGGCAACTGGTAGGGTTTGCACATGCCCCACCCCCGACGGCTGACACCAATACTGTCGGCAGGGCTGGTGCCCCCCCTTACAGGGCCGTCGCTGTTGGCGGCTTCTGCGGGTGCCCCCCGCAATTCAGGAGGCATAAATCACTTATGCTCTAAAACATTCCTAAAACAATCTTTTGGCATGTACATTATATGTGAAGTAGTACGGTATAAAGGTTTTGCTGGAACTTGTTTGGGACGAACTGAATAGCTCACTTAAGGACTCTTTAGTCATGGGGCCCACTCAGAAACGCATGTTAATTAAAACATTAAAAAGCTACATCACACTTTTAATGGTCCCATATGTTCCCTTCATAGGTCCGCCTGACACTCTTAAAAGCTCAGATACTAACTTAGCTTAATACTAAAAATAGCATGTCACATTGCCCAGTTATATTAATGAAATAACCAGTAACTGACAGACTATGCATACAAGCAGACAGAGTAAACGACAGCAGGGAAATGTGGTCACTCATTTTCACAATTTTTATTAGTGAAAGTCAAGACCATTAATAGCATTTTTCACTGAATCAAAACTAGGATTCCAGTATTTGTTTTAAGAACCTTAAAATCAATATATCTTCGTAATATCCTTTATATCAGGTACAAGACTAAGTGATATTTCAGTTCCTCTACCTTTTAGGAGGGAAATTAAGTTATGAGAATTGGCATTTATCCAAAACCTTGGGCAGTCTTTTTTGTACTAACAAGGTACAGAATTGAGGTCACCGTGGTTCTTCTTGAATATTAACACTAACCTACAGAGCATGGAAATTAAGTGAGAATAGCAGAATGAGCATAACTACTGAATGGCTGACATGCTCTGTTTTAACTGTATTGTAAATTTTCTTCTTCTCTTTTCCTATGATCAGAGGAAAATACCCAAAACATGTTATAAAAATAAAAGGGCCCAGAACACTGACTTAAGATCACAATCTTTAAATGCCTCTTTATCCACACACAGTTCACAGTCTAAACTGTTAATGTAGGCAAATGTGATATGAACTAATGCATAATCTAAATGGTCTAAATTGCAATAAATTTAGCTAAAACAAGAACAAATAAAAGAAGAAAATTTAAAAGAGCCAAGAGCTGTCAATATTACACATTTCATACATACATATATATACACACACATACACGCGCGTATATACATAGACAAATATTCCCAGACATATATATACACATATAAACACACACATATATGTGTATGTATATATATGTGTGTATATGCACGCACGTGTGTATTTATATGGGTGTGTGCATATATATGTGTGAGCGCACGTATGTACGTGTGCGTATATACACATATATACATACACAGACATATATATACACACATGCATGCATGTATATACGTGTGCGTGTACACACACACACACACACTAACTATATATATATATATTTTGTATCCCAGTGATGGTAGAGGCCTCTGGTTTTAAAGGTATGTGGACTTGCACCTAACAACAACAACAAAGGTGCATCTACCCACGGTGTTTTAATACACATTAGCCTAAGTTAATGCACATTAAGGGCATGTGTCTACACGTATGCATCCGTAATGTGCATTAAAATGGGGAATTTAAGCTATTTGTGCCTAAATTGGATACCTGCAAATGCAAGTATCCAATTTAGGCATGAATAGTTCAAGAGTACTAACGAACCTGTAGATGCCTTAAAGTGAATTAACGCTGCATGTGTCGACTGACTTGGGACTAACTTTAGTCCTAAATCAGTCCACATACAGCGTCAATGCGCTTTAACGCCTGCATGTATAGATGCCTGCCTAAACCTGTTTCATGTGCATTAAGCTAATGTGAAACAGGTTTCACATTAAGGCGCGCTTAAATGCATATGTAGGCAAGCCCAAAGATTACTATTTTTAAAACAAAATTAGCGAATGCTAAGAGAATATTTCAAGCATCTATGGACAGTGAAAACTAAGTAATTATGAAGCATGCCATTTCCAAATTTATGCCATGTACATGTATGGCATTTGCAAATATACTGTTCTTTTAAGATAGCTCTTCAGGCTAGTTAAATTAGGTCCAAATTTATTTAAGCATTTTACTTAAGCAACTAGGACTTTTGTGACCACAGATACTTACCTCTTTGCCATGTAATGGTAGAGGGGTCAATATCAAGACGTACAAATTTACTGATCTCTTCTTCTGTTAAAGTGCCAGGATCAGTTTTGCTTATTCCCAACCTCTAAATGAAAAGTAGAGAAGAAAAGCAGTAAGGCAGACTCTCTGGTTTAAAAAACAAAAACAAAAAAAACCTACACAAATACACATACCCACCCCAATTTCTCTCTTATTTTCTTTCCAAACACTTCCATTAAAAAAAAAAAAAGAGGTCAGGCTGAAAATACTAATAAATCACAGCATGCTGGATCAGATTCAAGTGATAAAGTCCATAGAAAGCTCATACATCAAGAAGAGAAACAGGAGGGAGAAGGTGGGTTGGAGAGCGGGGAAGAAATATCTAAAGACTATTAAACAAAAGTTCTCTCTGCCACACAGACACGTTCTCCAAGTAAACCAAAGAGATGATGCAATACAGCAGACAATATGAAAAAGACAATTAAAAAATATGCATAAACCTTTTTCTTGGCTATGGACATGTCCCCACATATCTCAATAAATTGTTTTACAGCAGGGTGGCTACAAATGGCACAGGCAGCCTGTGTGTGGCACGGAGCAGATCAGCAATGGGACAAGCAGCAGTGGCAGGAAGCAGAAAACAGAGCAGCAGGTGGGGCACGGAGCACAGGGAAGGAAGCTGAAGACAATGCACCAGATTGAGTAGGGAGCCTAGGGTAGGAAGTAGAAAGAAGAGCAGCAGACGGGGAAAGAGAAGGGTATTGGAGTGGCATTTGGGAAGGACATGGGGTTAGTTTGTGGCACTTCTGCCTAAAAGGTTGGTGCCTACTGTTTTACAGAGCTACTCTTTGCTAATGAAATATAGGCAGTCCTCAGACTTACAACACAACTGGTTCCTGAAAACCGCGTTTTAAGTCGAAATGTTGCAACTCAGAACCAATTTTCTCAGGAGAAACAATGTTATAAATGGGGGACTGGTTCCTGACCCAAGGCCCAATACCTTATTTTCACCAAAAATACCCCAGAATTTTGTACTTGATCGATTATAGATGAGTAATATAGCTACATTAATGTATTTGTATTGTAAATAGCAATCATATTGATTTGGAAGGACTTCTTTGAGGCGACTTTGCTGGATTTTTTGAAGGGCTCTTGTCTGGAGTCTTCTCAGGAGTCTTGGTTTTTCTGGAGTCTTGTCTGCTTTCTTAAAGAAAGTGTCCAAGGAAGTTTGGACAGATGTTCTCCAGGGAGATGAGCGACACAGCAAACTTGTTTGCTGGTGTGGCATCACATCAGATCAAGCGTTGTAAAGTCAAAACCGACATCACAAAGTTGAAACAGGGTGTCAATTTATAAACACTGCAAGTGCGAAACATTGTAACTAGAAATGCTGTAAGTCAGGGACTGCCTGTACAAATTTGCAATATGCCTTATTAATGCTCTACCTTAAGAGCTCCTATATCTTGATTTTTTTTTTATTTACCATTTAGAAAGGGCAGCTCAATACATTAAAAATATTTTAAAGAGCTTGCAACTAATTCAGCAGTATCAAAACTTTTCCTTAAATTTATCAGCACAGAATCAAAAGCAATTGCATATTATGAAAAAGGCAATTTTACAAAACATAGAAAAAATGCCTTTATGCCCTTTGGCCACAGAAAGCTTTCTTCAATTAATTCAAACAAACTGCTAGGAACAGGTTAACTCAACTCAAGAAAATAAAATTAAATTAAAGGAAGGGGTGGTATTAAGGCACTTTCCAATATCAGAACTTGTTTTCAGTTGCTTGTAACTTTACCTTACAAACCGTTTGGGCTGTAATTTCAATGCTCCTTGATTCCAAGAATGTTTTACTCAAGATAACAATTTCTAGTGAGCTTTTCTTTGAGAAGCGTCCTCATACTCTGGGAACAGATTAAGATGTAGCAGGACTGGGTTTTGGGACAACTGTGCTACTACCCCCCTGCTGGCCAAACAGCTACTGCCTTGCCCCGATTCTAGGTACCTTCCCCTTCCACTCTTT